CTTTCGACATATATTTATAACATTGATTGTATTTATTATGATAAATACCTCCTCTCAATCTCTGTAACAGATTTTCTCAATTTTGCATAGTCATTGAATCTTTGTTTAAATATAACGGTTTCTATGTTTGTCAGCTCTTGGTTCCCATTTTGCTTGTTGATCAACTGTTATCAAAATTAGACACAACTATTACCTTTAATTTACACTATCATAAGTTATAACTATTGTTTTATGTTTTCATTTAGAGGAGCCCTTTATCTTTCAGATTTATGGGTATTCTAAGCACAACAGATACTTCAGGAGTCGAGGTTTGTAACTAATTTATGTTTATTCCTCAATAACGGACCGTTATTTATACAAATCACTGTTTTATGAGATTTGGTTTTCCGCATATCTCAATCCTGTAATTAAATACCTTGGTAGATTTAACAGGTACCAAATAATTTTTTTTTCTTCAGGAAAACATTTCGAATAAATCTTAAATGACTTCCGAAACGCTTATTTATTTACTAATAAATCTAAATTTGTTGTCCAAAATGGGCTTCAGTATTCATTATTATGATGAAATATTAAGGTACCTTCTGTGAGGAATAATGATAGAATCCACTGAATCACCATTCTCAACATTCCTTTAATTATAGTTTGTCATAATAGGTTGCTAAACAACGAACAAACAGACACATTTACTTGAGTTCTTAAACCGGTCAATATTAGACCACCACTGAAAACTTGAGAACAATGGAAGGCCACTCCTTCTCAGCAGCACCCATCAACGACCCCCCCTGGGGGATCCAAACCCTGGACCGTTGGCCTCACGCTTATAAACCTATCCTCTAGACCACTTAGACAGCATGTCTGACTCAAGACCGTTCACAATATTGCGTCACCATCATCCATTGTCTTCAGTAACTAAGCTTGAACATAATGTTTTCTTACTATTGTAATGATAATAGTGTGATAATAAGCGTGTCTATTCTAATTTCTAACTATTGATAGACTGATTACAATAGTAAGAAGTCATCTTAAAAGTTCCATTTTATATGGCATCCAGCGTATATTCCCTGGTGAATCATCAGTATATTATTCTCAGTTGTTGAGTTACAAGCTGTAAAAGGAGATAAGGTGTTGAATTATTTATCTTATTTGGTCGTGTCAACATTCCGTATAGCTTAAATGTCTTGTCTTTGTATTCAGTCTCCAATCTCTGAAGATGTTGTTATCAGAACCAGAATTTCGAGTAATATTGAACAGTGTCCGAACATAACTCTACAAGGAGTAACCATGATGTGCCAGAGATCGGTAAATTTGAAACGTGATGCCTCCGTCGTTGAAAACAGTAACCGGCCACTACATGTCCATGTTTTAAAGATTCCGGCTCACGGAAATTATCGCACATAGATAACTAGACCTCATCTCCATGCTGGTTATGTGTGGAGGTTAGTATTGCAGGAGGTTCTGCACATATAAAGAACATTGCTGCACTAAATGTCACCGTAAGGACCATAAAGAAACCAGCTGCGGAAAAAAACCCACCGACGTCACTCATCGTAACCCCACTTCAAGAATGCAGATCTGGTATGAAAACAAACAAAATATTGGTATCTGATAACCGAGAATGAATTTACTGCCGAAGAAAATACGTAACTTTGGACATTAATAAACACCGCATTCGTCTTCAACTTTGTACAGTGTCTGATTTTACTCTTACCATCCCACAAACTTTCAAGAATACTAGAAAACCCACAGTTCACTCAACGACGCAACTAGCACACAGCGCATCTGGTGGAAAGCTAAATACTGTCGAAGATGTATCCCGCATTGTTTCTAACGGTTCTGCAACAACGAGTGCAACAGTATACCTTACAAAGAATCCAGCATTCTATCTATTGTGGTTAGATATGATAGAGGCGCTAAAACTGGAAGACCATTCGATCAAAAACACCTGTAGACGCGTCAGAACTGATAACTCCTTAGATTTGAACCATAAAAATGCCACAACGTATTTACAGAATTGGCAAAAGTAAAGCATTACTAACCCTCGGATCTAGAGCTACTCCTGTTTTTCAACTTAATAGGACTATGCATAATGCTGCTCTCCTAGTATTTGAGCGGGAACTAGAACGGCTCCAGAAGATGATTGTTATTGAGCCTGTGAACTACTCGATTTGGGCTGCACCGATAGTGGTTGTCAAGAAATTCAACGGTAGCGTTCGCTTATGTCCAGATTACTCCACCGGACTAAGTGAAAATCCAGAATCTCGCCCAAATCCCTAACATTTACCTAAAGATCTCTTTGAAAATCTGAATAGTGGCAAGTATTTTGCAAAATTGGAATTTCTGACACCTATTTAAAAATTCCTGTAGTTGATCAACCCACACAAGGGCATGTTCCGATATAACCAACTGCCATTTCAAGTAAAGGCGGCATCCTCTACTTTTAGTAAATTATGGATATCAGGCTACAAGATATTCAAGGAGCAGCGTCTTATTTTCATGACATAATAATCATGAAAGCAAACAAAATGGACTTGCGGAAGACTCTTGACTAGATGCTAGCACGTATAGCTAAGTATGGTTTTTACCTCTGCACTGAAAAGTATAATTTTTGTATGCAGCAGGTGCGATACCTTGGTTTCATAATAGATAAAGATGAAATGAGACCAGACCCAGAGAATATCGGGGCTATAAACACTGTGTTTACTCTACGGAACTTCTCTTCCTGATCTTCAACGTTTGTGTATTCAGCTGAATTGTTTGCTAACAAAGAACACCAAATGAATTTGGTGAGCAGAATGTCAAGAATCATTCCTCAAACCAAAATATCTCCTATCGTCAAATCTTCTACTTATACACCATGATCTAGCCCTTTTTATTGCGATAGCAGTAAATGCATCAAGTTATACAGTTGGAGCAGTGGTTTCATATATCTACCCCGTTGGATCTTAGAAAGCAATTGCCCACGCTGCACGATCACTGACAACGACAGAAAGGACTTATGGTCACATAGAGAAGGAAGCCCTCTCCATTTTCTTTGCTGTAAAAACGTTTCACATGATGCAATTCGCAGACAGTTTTCGTTGCTAGCAGACCAAAAGCCTCTGCCGTCAGTTTTTGGATCTAAGAAGGATGTACCTGTTTATACAGCAAGCCGTCTACAAAGATGGGCAACTACACTTCTGTAGTACAATTTCGAGATAAATTACCAACCAGCAACAGATTATGAACAGACAGATGCTTTCTCGAGATCAATTGACTCCCATTCATTTTCACTAAACTCTAGAAATACCTGAGCGTTTTGTACTGTTTAGAATAAGATTCCTTCCCACTAGTCTTCTGTCTTCTGACTTGCGATTTGGAGGGTTTAAGTGTTCAAGTGCTCAAGTTGTAGGCGGTGTAGCAAGAAATATTTAAGCTGCAGATCTAACAGTTATTATTAAAATCCCTACTAATGTGCACTCTTTCCAAGACTTCACCTTAAGGTAGGTAAACTAATGAAAATAATTAGATACAAGCATGGTGAGTAGTCAGAAATAACCTTTAAACCTAAGTTTACTTGGTGTTCATAAACAAGATATGAAATCAATTTTGAGCGAAATAGTGATTGGTGAGGAATTAGTAATTGCTCTGTTCAGTTCCCTAATCTCAGCGGTTGACATCGAGATTTTTGGGTATCAGCTATCATCATTTAGTACCGAGGTGGCATGGTAATTGGTCACTGCATAGCATCCAATGTCACACTTCACCAGAACTTAATGTTTTACAAATAAAACAAACCAAGAAGTAACATCGGTGTTTTTTTAGCTGGAAAGGAAATTAGGAAAAACGCTAACAGAGTATAGAACATACATTAAGGAAATCGTCAAATTGTATTATAAAGAAAACCCTAAAATAGAACCAACAAAGAACACATTGATACAGGAATTGGAAGTAGACATCAAAGGAATGTATAGAAATTGAAAACAATAAGAAAGGTGAGTTCTGAACAGAGACCAGATTGGCATCACACGCCCCTCCACGCGGTGTAACATGAGTAAGTTAAATTAATAGCAACGTATCAGAATATGAACTTCGGGGAAGGTTGTTCGAATACAACACTGAAAATCATTTGGCTCAAGATTGATGGTTCACAAGTTTTAATCACCACGGAAGCTGGATTCATGGTCACCTGATGAGAGTCTACAATCACCTATAATTTTTGATCACTTAGACTGATGGGCATATTTTAACTAGCGGAAATTCAGTTAATGCTCTGTAATTAACTAATTTATTATAAGTTTTTGAAGTTATCATGGTTTTATCTCAATATCTGATTAATTATTATTATAAAAACATAAAAATGCTATATGTATATTCTTCAAAAGTAATTCTGTTGTAGAGGCGATTGCTCACTGAAAACGATGGTTCAATATCATAGATTGGTTGGAGATAGACATAAACAGTGTTGGATACCGGCTGAGTGGTTTAGAAGCGTTGTGGTGCGCGCTACAAGTAGTATATCACGCGAGTTAAGAACGTAATGTCTAGCAGCAGAAGATAGGAAAAAATCAAAAAAGAAAGAGCGAGAACACAATGCAATTTGTATGAAAACGCATGAACAATGAAATGTCAGACAATGGATTGATATTTGCAACAGGAACAGTCCAGTTTAATATGATAGATTGATATTTTACAAATTAACGATTTACTATATGATATTTCTATTTTACCAATTAACTTTGTAATTTTGGGCTAAACATTCGATTGTGCCCACCCGTGTTCTTGTTCACTGAAGCATTCGCTTGTAAGATCAAAAAAACTGGCTTTGTGTCTCGTATGTGAGATCATTTGTACGTACTGCTGAAGAGTGTTATATTGGGACGAAACGACCATTCAGTGCTTTAATACCGTAAACTATATTAGCAGACAATTTGAATAAAGATCAAGACGACTGTTTTTTTTTCATAAAGAAACAAATAATTTATTTTGTTACTTATAGTAAGTTTATAACAAAGTATGAAATTCAGAAACTAATTTTTTGTTTAAACTTAAAATAAACAACATTATAGAGTGACAGTTTGTTTATTTGTTTTGTACGATTCATTATAAGTTAGTCATATAAATAAGAATTTTAATAGTTTAAATCATAAATTCATTGAAGCTAAATCACCATGGAAGATCATCTAGAAGCACTGGACAACTTATTGTAGGACTCCACATTAGTGCAAATCTACAATCTCACCTTATACGATTCGAACCCAGGACCTATTGGCCTCGTACACTAACGCTTCACCTCTAAACCATTAAAGAGTCTCATCATAGGACAAAACAGCTATTCAGTACTTTCAAATTTTCCATACTAGTCTAGCTTCAATTGATTCATGATTTCAACTACTAAAATTACTATAATATCTAGAAACAAACAAAACCCCTTCTGATATAAATAAGAATTTCTAAATAAAGTTATAATTACATATCAATTACATAATAACCAAGGAATATAAGTTAATACAATACAATACAATATAATATACATTAAAAGTTATATAACTATTAATGCACCGGATATATAGTAGGATTAATATTTAATTCCTGAATATCATTTTGATTACGTAATCGATCATTAGAACCATCATTAAACGAGAGATCACCATTTTGATGTATGTTATTATTATTATTATTATGTAATGATGTTTGAATATTGATTATATCTAATTTCTCATTAGATTTAATCAATGATTTTTCATAATTAATCAATGAAATATTTGAATTTTTCAATGTATTTGATTTTTCATAATTATCATAGTTACTATCCATTTCCATTGTAATCAAATGATGAGTAGTTTTAGATAATGAATAATGTAATTTATCTGATATTTGATTAGATTCAATAGAATTTTCTAATATTAAATTATTTTCTAAATTATTTTGACTACAATTTTTATTGATTTTTATATCTGATTTTAATAATTTATCATTTTCTTTTGAATCAATATTTATTGATTTATTATTATGATTAGAAATAATTGATAAACAATTTGATTGACGTGATAAACTATCAGTCAAATAATGTTCATTTATTGTTGTATGAGTTGGACAAAATAAAAAACCTGATTCACCAGATGGAAATCTAACAACTAATGGTGTAAGACATGATGATAATTGATTTATTGATTGATTAGTATTATGTGATAATGAATCAATGGTAGAACTAGTTTTAAATGTATAATTTGATAAATCATGATTTATTTGTTTTTCTTTTATTAAATGACATGTTTCATTAATTTCAATATCATTTAAATTAGATAATTCATTATTTGTACAAGATTGATGATCTTTTAGTTCAGTAGATTGTTGATATATATTATTAGTATTATCATTAAATTGTATATACTGTTGATGTTGTTTGAATTGTTTTTGTATATCAAATTTTCTTGTTAATTGATCAGATTGTTCACCTGTATATAAATATTGCATATGATAAGTTGAATAAGGATTTTGTGATACAATAATATGATTTGGTATAATTACACCATTACCATTTGTTGTATCTGTTAAACTAATTGAATCATTTGAATATAATAATGAACCATTTAAACTACCATTTTGACCAGGTATAGTAATACTACCATTTTGAAAACAACATTCAGATAATAATGGATGATGTGAATGAGATGGATAAGGTGGATGATTTGATTGTTTAGAATAATTAACTGATTGTGAATGATATAAATTTGTTCGTTTTATTGAGGTTGGATCTGATTCTAATGAAATACCTGAACTACTTTGACCATTTTGTTTATGATATTTTAATAAATTATCTGGATTTATTGTTGATGAATTACTCATTAAATGATGAAAGATTGGAGTTGTGGATACATATGAAACATTTGTACTATATGTTGTTGATAAAGGTAGAATAGATGTTGTTGTTTGAATTAGATTTGGTAACATAATACTACTATTCACTGGTAATAAATGATTATTTTCATTATGTGTATAATGTCCAGATTTATTATGATATAGTAAGATTGATTCTGTTAAACTATCATCAATTTGTGTTGAATAATTCATAAATGTAGTATTAGGTTCAATGATTTGTCCAACATGACATGATGTCATTAATAAAGGTTGATGATTTGATGAATTCAATGATTTATTTATAGATGTTGACATGTTTATATTAGATTTGGTTTGTATACATAATATACATTTTAAGTAGGTGTTTACTTTTCCATGTTGAGTATCATCTGAAAATAATCCAATTATTCAAGATAAATCTATTAATTATATAAAATTAAATTGATGATATTTTGATATCAAGTTATCCGTGAAATGATTACGTTAAACTAGTATATCTTAATCTAGTGAGATGGATGCCAGCTGGTTTAATGGTCTAAAGGTGAAACGTTCACATACGAGACCGATAAGTCGTTGGTTCGAATCCCGTAGGTGTGCACTGCTGAGGAGTCTCATACTAGGATAAAAAGACTGTTCAATGTTTTCAAGTGGTCTTCCATGATGGTCTAACTTCAATTGATTCATGAATTCAATTATTAAATTACTAGTTATTATATCTTTATGTACTTTTCAATTTGAGATATCTTCACCTTTGTTTATATAAATAATCAATAAATTGTACCACATAAAACTTAAAAACTGAAATCTTGAGAATGAAATTCCTCTGATGGTTAAAATAACATTATTTTACCTATACAGAGGTTAAACAAGAATACACTCGGATAAAAAGTATGAATTACAATTTTTTTTCCTTCCTTAATAGGTTTAGATGATCAGGATTCGTGATCCGAAATAGAGAATCAGTTTAATACTATGGAATATTTTATTCAATCTGATTACAAGTAGTCACACACAGTGAATTCAGAATAGAAATTAAAAAGAAGAAGGAAAATCACATATTTTCTGTTGGGGATGTTAGATCACCAGAACTCACTTGGAGAAGGACTTAATTTTGTAATTGTATTTAGAAAATTTAAATTTCTTTGTTCTTGCGCCAAAAGCGCCCCTGTCACCTTCATGTCGTATTTCCCACTTGAACGAATCTTAAATGCTATTGGTCCGTTGAGTATTTTAGTATGCTATTTGATAACTCTCCCCAAGAACGGTTTTGTACTGTACATATACGTTTTGATTTGTGTTTGTTGTTATTGCTCGTTTCTGACAGTTTGCAGAATATGCTTCCCCATTCCAAGCTTGGACTTCTTCCTCTAGTTAGCGGGGCTGGAATGGATTAAATAGCTCCCAATTTCGGGGAAAATTTGACCCATTTCTGGGAAGCTGCTTTAGTAAACTTTGTGGAAATGGCACTAAAACCCCGAAATTTCCCCAGACCTGGGGAAATTCCCCAATATTTCAACGAAATTCCCCTTTAATCTGGGTGAAAGTCATTTGACTTTGGGGATTTCCTCACGTTACTAGTCCCGACCTAGACGCTTACCCTTTGGATAAAACTTAAAACACACAAGTCAAAACTCATGCAATTCATGGGCATAAGCATACACTTCGAGCAGCTCGAAAGATTTCACAGAACCTCTAGAATGAAACTCAATTAATCTGGTTTACATCAGAGTGGTGGATAAGTTCGATTTCCTCCAACCATTCAAGTTAGTTAGCAAGTTGCTCCTACTAACCAGCAGCACCGCGGTGAGACCTTAAATCAGATATTGCTGTACAATTTTTGTCACAGGTTTCACTATTCAACATTGAATAATCTATCGAAAGCATATTATGTAGTGGCGCTTTATATGCTCTACGGTTACTACAGATGTCGAGGTTGTCCAATCGAGCTTAGAAATACAATTTTCACCGATATACATATATGTTAGTTTGTTTGTAGGTTTCAAACTACAGAGAAATAAAGCTGCACTTAAGATGTCACATTGAATACTACAAACTTTTTAAATGAAATCTTAATAGAGAAACACATTAACCACATGTAAAATACTTATGTTTTATATCCTATAAACATTGTTCTTTCAGACCATAACTCCCGTAACAACTAGTTAGAAATTACTGTTTGATTTTGTCAGGAAGCTTAAAAAATCTTATTGTTTGACATTTGATTGTGAACACTATTATATTTAAAAATATGAGACGTCATATAATGATTAGGTTTCAATAGATCTGAATGATCATTATAGGGTTGTAGAGATTATTGAGATTATGATTAAGATCTTGAACCGATTGATACTACACCACCATTGAAGACCTAGAAGCACTGGATGGCTGTCTCGTTCTATTGTGTGACTCCTCAGCAGTGCTCATCCATGATGCAGTCGAAGATGGTCGCGCAATTTCGTAGATTCGTTGAGGTTAGACACTAACACTGTTGGATGCCAGCTGTGTTGTCAGGTAGGTTAAGCGTTCGCGTGCGAGACTGAAAGCCCTGTGTTCGAATCCCACTAGTGGAATCGTGGATGTGCATTGTTAAGGAGTCCCACAATAGGAAGAAACGACCATCCTGTTCTTCCAGGTTTTCAATTGTGATCCAACATCAATCGGTTCAACATCTCAATCAACGTCTGAATGACTTGTATAAAGAACACTAATACTCTGGGTATTTATTAACTGAAATTTTATTACATGCCTTTTTATTCACCTATGTGTATTTTAATGAATAAGTTCGTATGAAATTGATTTACCTAAATAACTCTTCAATAATAAACATCGAATTATTAAAATAATATTGACGATCAGAGAAATAGCCAATATTCCAATCAAACTGAGAACCAATTCAGGTCGGGTCACTATAAAGGGAATAAAATATGAGATAAAAGTATAGAAAAATATAAATAACTACATTATAAACACTTATCTATTGTTTAAATTAAAGTACAAAGTAAGCATGTTTTTCAAACATAATTTGGCTTCTTAGTCAGCAGAATGTATTTGACGAGGAGTCCCACAATAGGACAAAACGGCCGTCCAGTGCTTCCAGGTTTTCAATGGTGGTCTAACGTCAATCGGTTCATGCTCTCAATCAAAAACTTGACAATCTCCACAACATCTAAATTGATAAATGTTTTCATTTAATTAACGTAACGTAGCGTAGAAGCGATTTATAAATCCAAGTTATTAGTCAAGACAGTTAAAAAGATTAGACAGTATAATGAATTTTATCCAATGAAGTACATTCTAAATACTGATTTGTTCAGTGAGAGATAATAAACTAAATCACTAAGTAACTTCAGTTTAAAGTTATGGGAGAACATCTATTCGCATCCTACCATATACTGGTTTAGTAAAACAAATATACTTCTAACTTGAAATTCGTACTATTGAATATGTCTTTAGAATAAATAATCGCCTCATACTAGAATCATTGTATACGGCACCATTAAAATGATACCAAAGGGAATTAGTTCCATTTAATGATGAACTAATACAAAGTTGATAAGAGAATATGTTTCTTTCTAAACTAACTAGGAATTATTGTGTGGTATTATAAGGTAGAATTTGGAAATACCGTAAAAGTGGTATTCATCGTATTTCTAGTTCCTGTGTCAGAGGTTCTAAAAGGTTAAATTATGTATTTGAAAGTTTTATGTTCATGACAGTTGACTTGCTTATTGAGATATTTGCAACTTGATGTTCAAGTAAAAACATAACAAGTAAAACAAAACAGTCGGCTCATTTTAATCTAACATGTCACCATTCATAGATGTCCCAGCTCAATTAACCAAATTGTCTGAATAGTATAGTTCAACTATATATCAGGATGATAAGTTTACTTATTCCATCATCGATTTCTGACTTCCATAAAACGGCATTACGTTATTCACATTTTACTCAAACTTAATACTGAAAACATCAAGAACTATTTACATAAACTTCGAGATATATTTGATCAATCAGAAATCGACAAGTGCACGTGATTGTCCAAGAAATGGCTTGTACTTCTGAAGAATAATGCTTTACAAAACTAAGCCACCGATAATATATATAAGTTCACATCGTTTTTGTTTCGCTTAAGGCAATAAATTCTGTCTTTTCACGCTAGTAGCCAGTTGATTCGTACATAGAAAGATTAAGTATCATGTTCAACTCTCAAGGATTGGTAAAGCAAGGACAGTATTCCTACAACTGAAGAACATGTGGAATGCAAAATAACGGTTAGTTAAAAACAAAGTCCGAATCACCAACATGAAATTCAAGACAGTTCTACTGTACGGAGTTGAAACTTGGAGAAATACTACAACTACTAAAAACGTGCAAGTGTTTGTCAACAACTGCCTACATTAAATGCTCAATATCCGTTGGTCGGATAATATCAGCAACAACCTACTGTAGGAGAAAATAAACTGGCATTAGCTGAAGAGAAAATTAGGAAAAGACATTTATGTTGGATAGGACATACATTGTGGAAATCGTCAAACTGTATTACAAGGAAAACACTAAAATGGAATTCTGGAGGTAAAAGGAAAAGCGAATGAACAAGGAACGCATTGATACAGGAATTAAAGTAAGCATCAAAGAAATGAATTAAACTTGAAAACAACAGAAAAGGAGAGTTCAGAACAGAGTTGATTGGAGAAACCTGATTGGCGACCAATGCTCCTCGATGAAGTATAACAGGCGTAAGAAAATCAAGTAGTCAAGTTTCGGATACCGCACTTTATAACTATCTGAATTATAAAAGTCTAAAATGATATATGTATAAGCAAGTCGGGAATAGGAATCATATGTAGAAAGTAATATCAGCCATATTAAAGTTTTATGGCTATCTGATGTGTGAGCGATTATGATGATGATTAATTGTTTGCTTAGTAAGATTAGTAGGTAGTCTGACAGGTACTAGATGAGTTATATATTCTCCAAACCTTATCATTATTGTGATTGTTGTCGGTTTCTAATGTGGAAATATACTTACATTCTAGTCAGGCCAGTGATATGTTTTTGATCTTAGTTTTATTGAATTCCTGTAGAATGAACACTGGGAGAGTATCTAATGTAGATATTCGTCTAATGTAAATGTACGTCCCATTTGTGTAGACGAAAAACTGAGCGCTATAGCACCATCATTTACATTTTAATACATTTCTGTATCATTTCATTTTAATGACCACATTACATTTAAGATTAGAATATTTCAACATAACTTTTGTAATTCCTGTAGAATCTCTTCTATTTCAAATCAATATAAAGTAATGTTCTAGTAGCTAATATAACGTCTCAAAGAATTCACAGTTACATTCTAATCAGTAGCTTTATTAAAATACATAGTAACACTTAATCTTATCAATGTAAACACTGATGAACTTCTGAAAATGATAGTGATCACATTTTGTTAAAGTGATTTCATGACAATAATCACATTTAGAAACCCTTGAACAGTAATAAAATTATTTTATTACGAAAGATTGCTCCATATTGGCTATATGTCCCATCTGAATCGAACGGGTTAAAATGGAGCTGTTAATCGTTTTGACTACATCTTTGCTTAACCAAACTGGGAGGTGCTCACGAGCCCGAATGTATAAATTTGTAGAACATCTACCAATATGACTTGCTACACAGGAGCAGTTGGATTGATAGATACAGAAGGAGGTGGCTAGTTTAGATAATTTATCTTTCCACCTCAGAATGATCATTGAACGTGTGGATAACATTAATTGTGGTTTACTTGCATTAAAAGTTCTTTGGATTGATCTGCTTAACTTTAGTCTTAGGATTTCACTCGATGCATCGCCTCTCAATTGTAAGCGTATATACAGAGGCTTTTTATTCACAGTTAGGCATTCTCTATGCTCTCTTTTATGCTATATGCTCATTTTATTTATAAATCTTTCAGAATATACATTTTTTCAGGGCCGTGTATAATGTCTTTGTTTTATCTTCGACCATATCTAGAGAGCATACGGTCTTGAATGTATGACGCACTGTCTTAATAAGGTTCCTTTTTTGTATTGCAGAGAAACAAAACTAAGGGAGTTTACATATTGTTTATGTTTCTACTTAGTGAGCCGTCTTTACTACTTGCAAGTAGAACATCTAGAAACGTTATCCTACCTCTATTTTCCTTCTCACATGTGAATTTTATGGACAGGTGAACTGTATTAAATCGTTTTGAGTGTTTCTTTGAAGTCCGTATGGTCGTTACAAAGGATAAATGTGTCATCCACATATCGGCGGTAAAATGAAAAATTTGTCAATCTGAGTCGTTTTCTAGTTTAGAGAGGAAAATGTTAGACAGTATGCGACCTTGAGGTTAATCCATCTATTTGTCTATAGATTTCACTATTGAATTTGAAATGTACATTCATAATACATTTTAGTAGTAATCCTTTGATGATCTTTACAGGAAATGTTGTTTCTACTTCATGTTTTCTAAGTTGTTCACAAATATATATTCTACAGTTTCTCTGAGTGAGACATTTGTGACCAATGACGTTACGTCAAAAGATATCATCGTTTGACCTATCGTGTTTATGTTTTTAATCTTGTCAACAAATTAAAATACATCCTTAATACTATCCTTCTCTAGGTGTTTATGGAGTGATTTTAAAACGGTTACTAACCATTTTGCTACAGTGTGATAAAGGGAATCGTTCATTACTAAAATTGGTCTCAATGGGATATCCGGTTTATGTACCTTCGGTAGTGCGTATAACCTAGGTAAATGGGTACCTATCGGCTTATTTGTTTCATATATGTCTGGTGGAATCATCCGTTGATGTGTGAGCTTTTTTAATGATCTGATAAGTTCATTCTTTATCTTATTATTGACATCATTTTGGTTATTCAGTTCCTGAAATTTTTAGTGATCATTCAAGATGTTATTCATCTTTTTATTGTAATCTTTTTTTGTTAAGTAGGATAGTTTCTGCTCCTTTATCAGGTTTTGTGATAACCAACTGCTCCTATGTAGCAAGTTATATTGGTAAATGTCCTAGGAATTTCTACATTCGGGCTCGTAAGCACCTCCTAGTATGGTTAAGCAAAGGTGTAATCAAAACGGTTAACAGCTTCATTTTTACCCATTTATTCAGTAAAGCTGAATGCTTTGAATATAAGATTTTAACTATAATATTAATAACTTAACTTACATTTAAAATCAAGTAGACGTTGACTTTCTTGTTTCTGTGCCAAACGAATATACTTCTTATCCAAAGTGTCATTTTTTAATTCATCAGTTAGATTCATCAAATTATCTTCTTTTTAAAAAGAAAGAAAGTAAATTTGCTGTGTAATTCACAATTTAATAATTGGATTCATAAATCTATTAAAGCTAGACCAGCATGAAAGACCATCTGGAGGTACTGGACTGTCGTTTCATCCTAGTATGGGACTCTTCAGCAGTGAGAATTCACGATTCTGCCCGTGGGATTCGAACCCAGGACTTATCAGTCTTGCGCGCAAACGCTTAACCGCTAGACTCATGAATTCAACTATTAATTTACTAAAATCTCCACAACAGTTTATGAATAAAAGTCAATAAGCTAAGAGATTCCTCGAAAGTGGATTTCTTAAAGACATGTATTCCAATATCTTAAGAATTTGCATTAAGTTTTGAGTCCTCATTCATGATACGAACTTAACTATAAGGAAGTATAATAAAAGCTCTCTATAAGATATAATAGAAGATATTCAATTCTTAAATGAAATACATTGTTAACCGAATTCAGTTGATGTTAATGGATGACGAAAAATGACCTCCAAATAAAACAAAAAATTTAAAAGGACAGCTTACTTTGATGCATTGTCTCCATGGTAGCTTTATCTAAATTATTCGGATTTTTCCAGTTTTCAGTCATTTCACTCTTCGTTATAGTTGAATTGATTTTATTGAGTTTAGATTGACTTTTGATGTTTCTGTGAGACTGATTGATAATATCAGTTCTATTTTTTTTCAATGAGCCATTCTTAATCTGAATATCATTATTAATGCTGGTGATATTTTTATCAGAATTATTACTAGCATTATTTATATTTGTTGGAAAAGTTTCTGCAGCCTGTAATTCTAGTGATCTAACTGCACGTTGTCCACGATATTCACAATTCCATAATCCAGTATGATCAAGTTCTTCCATATTAATAATATATTGATATTGGAATGTGCTTGCATTGATCCTTTTAAACTGACATCCTTCAATAACTTGTGCTATACTACGTGGTATTGTACAACCATTTTCATTTAATAAACAGTTTGGACTACAGTCCATATAGCAAATGGACGTCGAAAGCTGAAATAAGAAAACGTAAACCATAAACAAATGCGTATCTAACTATTAAAATTACTATAATATCCACAAAAATACCTTCAGATACTAATCAGTATATGCTCACTAGTAACTGACTTCAAAAGCTATTTCCTGGAATTCTAGTGAGAAGCAGTGACCAGTGGGGTTCAACCGGGTCTGTTGTGAGATAGTAACTCATTGAAGACAATGGTGGACGGTGGTGCAATTTGGTGGATTGGTTGAAGTTAGACAATAACACTGTTGGATGCCGGCTCAGTGATGTAGATGTTAAATGTTGGCGCGCGAGACTGATAGATGATGGGTTCGAATCCCGCGAGCGGGATCGTGGATGAGCACTTCTGAGGAGTCCCATACTGGGACGAAACGGCCGTTCAATCTTTCCAGGTTATCCATGGTGGTTTAGCTTCAAATGATCTTAGCTATTAAAATGCGTATTTATTTAAGCAGAACATATTTAATGATTAAGCTCCCTATTCACAAGTAGACAACGTAACGATAAAAAACTTTTGTTTTTCATTCGATTACTTCTTTACATTGTATAGAAATGACAAATATTTAGACCTAATTTTGTTGTAGAAAATATTTAACTCAAATTTTGATTAAAATTAGATGGTAACTAACAGTGGAATCAATGATCACCAATTAGTTCTGTTTAAGACTAGTTAGTTGAATATACCTACACTCCAGTTTTGATATCCTTAGCGAAAATTAATCATAGTACCTTTCATTTTAAACGATGACACGTTAACTACAGATTTATTGAATTCAGATAAACGTTGGCTTTTTCAGTTTAGCATGATTCCTATTTGTAAGAGCCTAAACACGAATACTAATTTTTTGTTATCAAACTGATATTAGCAATTTTAATTCAGTTATGACAAAATCTATGACTAGTGGAGTTATTCCTTGTAGAGTGTGAGACCGTTACCCACTAAAGACAATATAAGATAGTCACTCAATGTCATGGATTGGATGAAACTAGACATAAGCACCCTTTGGTCCTGACTCATTAGTTTAAAGATTAAGCGTTTGCACGCAAGACAAATTGTTCTTTGTTAGATTCCCACCTACGGGGTCATGAATGCTCACCGTCGAGTAGCCTCATACAAAAACGAGACCACGATCTAATACTTCCAGGTTTTCAATGATAGTTTGATCTGATCTCATGCTAAATAAAGTAAGTAGTCACTTTACTTTGATATTAACTGATAATTTAAAACTTAATGAAGTAGAAAATTATAATTTGTTTATAATAATCCTTAGGTTCTTAAAAAGAATTAAACATAGACAATGATCTAATGAGAGATCCGTGTGAACTAGAAATCATTTCAATGTACGAAATCAAATAACAGTTTGCCTAGAAGGGTTCGAATTTTAACATTTTAGAAAACTATATGAACTGAATCCTTACTTATCTATACATATCATTTGCTCATTTTCTAAATATTCAGGGGTTTATCCTGATAATTAGATGTATTTATCGAATAGTTAAATGTTTTATTTTGTTCAAACTATGATGAATAAATAATAACATATACGTTTTAAAGAAGAAAACTACTACCACTATTCAACAGGACGCTACCTAGCAGGTATACGGAACAATGTGAACTGAATGAATTTGTACAAAGTTATCAGTAAACAGTATAATCCGACGTTATTAAAACTCACAGAAGCCATACTTGCTTACTTACACCTGTTACAGCTCTTCGAGTAGCATAGGCTGCCTAAACAACATTCTCCATCTGACCCAGTCCTGGGCAATCTTTCCCGTTCATTCCAGTCGCTATTCATCCCTTTCATATCTGTTTCCGATTCCCGACGCAATCTGTTCTTTGGCCTTCCTCTTTTCTGCTTCCCTTTAGGATTCCATGTTAGAGCTTGCCTCGTGATGCAGGTTGGTGATTTCCGTAGTGTATATCCTATCCATTTCCATTGTCTTTTCCTAATTTCTTCTTCAGCTGGAAGTTGGTTTGTTCTCACCCACAGTAAACTGTTGCTGATGGTATTCGGCCAATGGATGTTGAGTATCTATTTATAAATACTTGAACCTTCTTGATAATGGTTGTAGTAGTTCTCCAAGTTTCAAATCGGTGCAGTAAAACTTTCTTGACGTTCTTAATGAAGATTCTCACTTTGATATTGATTGATAGTTGTTTTGACTTCCATATGTACTTGAATTGTAGGAATGAGGCCCTTACTTTCCCAATCTTCGCCTTCACCTCTGCATCTGATCCTCCTTGTTGATCGATGATACTTTTCAGATATGTGAAAGATTCCACATCTTCCAGAGTTTTGCCATCAAGTGTTATTGGGTTGCTGATTACAACTAACTTCTTAAAAAAAATACCCAATGTCAGTATTTTTGACAAAAGTAACGTATTAATTTTATAAATAGCAAATTCTTTAAAACAAACAAATACATTTTAACTGATCATTATCCAAAGGATAGTTTGGTGAGACTATAGTTTATGGACGGACCTTTGACTGACACCAAAGTGACATTGAAAGTGCCCACCCATTAACTAGAACTAAATGACGGTTATAAACCTGTGTGAGGAATTAGAATTATAATTTACATTTGATGATTAAAGTTAGGAATTCGATTTAGGGTTTTCATCACGAAATGACATCAGCTTATAATGCCAAAACTCTATTTAGCCAAATGAATGAATGAATTTCGCGCCAAAATCCAAAAACTCTTATCTTATACCTGATTAGTTTGTCTATAAATCATAGTCTCAGCGTAAGTTTGAATTCTTGTTTAATTTTAAAATAACTTACCTGTGGACAAATTAAATATACTGTACTTGTTGGTTTCATTTCAATGATTGATTTATTGATGAATTGTGTTTGATTAATTATATTTTTGTTACTATGGGAAAAATCAATTTCTTTGATGTTTATTTCACATGTAATTAAACCTTTTCTATCAGCACGAATTCGATAAAATATATTCATAGTATTAGATACAATAGAATGATCTAATTTAGAATGACTATAATCTACTATACGTTTTAATCGATTTGTAGGTATAGTGTTTCTAATCAACTCATTGTTTTGATATGATAATACTGAATAAGAATTGATAACAATTAATAATTGAATAATTATGATTACATAATACATGATGTAATCTATAATAATGAATCGATTATAGTTACCAAGGAATGTTAACATTCAATTCGATGATTAATTGGAATTTATATGTTCAGTCAAATGAATATTGTTCAATCTGTAAAAGAAAACGAGGCTAAAAGATTAATTTTTTGTAATACTAAAATATATGATTTCTTATATAAACAGTTAAAATTACGTTATATTATAAATTGACGTCAACAGTCTATTTGGTATGTGCTACTTATATCGACATAAGTAGTATATAATGCTAGTCAGGAATAGAGAGTCTGGCAACAGAAGGTCAAGAAGATAAACAGTAACAAAGAATGATTGGTGTGGTAATGAAATGAACAGTGAAGTTTGAGACAATTGATTGACATTTTGCAAATGAAATATTTACAATATGGTTTCCAGACTTTACTAAGAGATCGCACAAGCAAGTGGTTATCAGGACTTAGTAGCTAAGTGGATATCGCGATGGCGTTTAAAGCGGACAGTACTGGGTTCGAGTCCCAGAGTGAACATCAACTCTGAGATGCAGGTACATCCAGCTGACGAGTCCCAAATAGGACGAAACGCGCGTCCTGGATCTCACTGCTAGCCACTATCTATCTTTGTTTATTGATAACATAGTTGTGTAAACATATCACAAGTAATGATGGACGATTGGATATAATGAAACTGATTTCAGTGGTGAACGAGTTTATTCATGTAACAAAACTGTAAACATGACAGAGAAAATATTGAAGTTTTGATGAGAAGTAGTGAGGCAATTAGCTACCACAGATAATGAGTGATTGTTACACAATGTCGAGTATTGATCTACATTGGATATATAAACCATTGAACGCAGGTTCAAAGATTTTAAGTTTAATATATTTCCAGTATATCTTAAGTTTTTTAGCTTTAATCTATGATGGCTTTGTGGGTCCACTTCACCGAGGAGCTCTATACTGGGATAAAATAACTGTCTAATATTTCTTAATGTTCATTGGTTCACTAACCTAGGTAAATTCATCATCTCATTATCATAGTTACAGATTTATTCTCCTTATTTTCATACAATACAGAATAAAATACACCATTATGACTGATACAGATTTAATTAGATTATTGATTTCAGTAACCAGGTATGACTAGTTTTTTATTGATTACTTCAAATGTCAATGTTCTGTTAGTTAGGATTACATATTGAAAAAATAGGTTGTACCAGAAACAAAAAACACAATTGGTAGTTTAATAAGTTAAAGAAAAATGTGTGAAAACTATATGTTACATATCATTATTAGATTAGATTAGATTAGTAGAAACATAATATTTCGCTTATGACAGCTACACCACTATAGCCTACTCTATAAAACAAAATACAAAACCGTAAAATCTTATTATACATTAACTTGGTATTGTTTGTTTGATTCTTCTCATTGATGTTTAGGACTGCAATTGATCAGTCTCTTATTGGAATATGTACATACTGAACAGATTGCATCGATATAGCTTTAAGTCACAAGCATTTTAAGCAAAGATGAATAGTGGCTAGCACTGAAATTCGGGATGCGCGTTTCGTCCCATTTATGACTTGTCAGTTGGATTTACTTGCATCTGAGATTTAATGTTTACTCTAAGATTCAAACCTAGTACCATTCGCTTCAAATGCCATCGCGTCATTCATTTAGTTACTGAGTCCTGATAGCCACTTTGCATAGTAAAATCTTATCTTATTGGAATGAATACATGAGCAACATTTTACATTCGGAATTGGTTTACAAAATGGCATTTTTATACTATGACAAATAACAATTCGTATTATAGGTATCATCGTTAAGGTTTGATTAGGTATTGGGTAGATTGTTATAAATAAAAATATTTATTTGTAGAGACCCCAATGATTAGATTCTCTGACATTTCGTGACAGTCTAAGCCACTTCTTCAGGGAATTAAATAACCCAAGTTTAAATAGGACAATAGAGCAAACTAAGAATATTAGGTGCAACATGTTTTTTGATTGATTACACTTGATATTCTTGTTTTGTTCCATTGTACTATTTAAACTTGGGTTATTTGATTCTCTAAAGAAGTGGCTTAAACTAAGTCACGAAACATCAGAGAATTTAATTTTACTACTTATTGCGATATTACAAAATCATCTATTTTATTTTAGTTCGTATTATGTGAAAATGTTAGGATCCTCTTATTTTTGATGCTGAACAACGCAAATGACCAGTACCTTTTGGTATATATGCATGATCCTGCTATAAAATTTCTTAGCTGTATACAATCACTATCCTATCAAGCACTAAGCTCAGACCGTGCTGGTCTTTCAATGAATTAAATTTGTTTGTATGGGTTTGATTAACAGTCAGTTTTATTCTAGTAGTTGAGATCATGAATCATTTGAAGCTAGATCACCATGGAAAACCTGGAAGCACTGGATAGCTGTCTAGCCCTACTGTAGGGCTACTCAGCAGTGCACATCCACGATCCCGCCTCGTGAGATCCGAACCAAGGATCTGTCAATCTCGCGCGCCAGCGCTTAATCTCTAGACCACTGAGCCGGCCAGTATCCAACGCTGTTGATGTCTAACTTCAACCGATTCACCAAATTGCACCACGGTCAAACATTGTATTCAGTGAATTACTATCTCACAACAGACCCCGTTGAACCCCACTGGTCACTGTTCTCACTAGAATTACATGAAGTATCTCCTGAAGCCAGTCACTGATGAGCATATTTTGATTGATATCAGAAGGGGTATTTGTGGATATTATAGTATTTTTAATAGTTCAGATCATAAGTTAATTAAAGCTAGACCACTATGCAAAACCTGGAAACACTGGATAGTTGTTTCGTCTCAGTATGGGACTCCTCAAAGTGTACATGCACACTCAACATCCATTGGCCGGATACCATCAGCAACAGCCTTTTGTGTGAGAGAAGAAACCAGCCTCCAGCTGAAGAGGAAATTAGGAAAAGATAATGGAAATGGATAGAACATATATTGAAGAAATCATCAAACTGCATTACGAGGCAAGCGCTAACTTGGAATCCTCAAGGGAAGTGGAAAAGAGGAAGGCCACAAAACACAATACGTCGGGAAATAGAAGCGGATATGAAAGGGATGAATAAGAACTGGAAAGAGCTGGAAAGGATTGCACAGGACAGGGTTGGATGGAGAATGCTGGTGAGTGGCCTATGCTTCTTCGCGAAGAGCAACAGGCGTAAGTAAATAAGTAAGTAAGTAAGTAAGTACACTATCATTTTCGCGTGCGAGCGCTTCACCACTAGACCACTGACCCGGTATCCAAAAGTGTTAATGTCTTATTTCAACTAATCCACAAATTTGATCGACACATACACCATTGTCTTCATAGAATTACTATCTCACAACAGAGCCAGTCAATTTTATTAAAATTCTAACCTAACAAAAGAATAATTAACAACTAATATAGATAGGTAAAATATATTTTACCTCCTACATTTCAAATGTTAACTTGTATGTTAGTTGCAAATACATATATATTATTCATAAAATCCTTTGAATATGACAGCCACCTTATCGATGGATTTCATCTGACACTCATTGGTATAGTCATTATTCAATGTCTACATATAGTCAGTTTTAATTATTACGCCACACATTCAACTTTTAAAAAAAAAAAAAAGAACACAACTGATATTCTTTACTATTCATGTCATCTATCAAAATGTCATGTCAATTATATATGAATATATACACTGATAAACTAATTTATGCAAATATTTTACAACCAAATAAATATCATTCATGAAAGTTATTATTTAATATACAATAATAAGATAACATTTCTATATATATATACGATTGTCTGTTACCATAGTGATGTGATAGAAGTACTTCTTTAAGATTCAATAGAAAAAGTCAAGATCTTTAGGGGAATGAAATATAAAACTTCACTATATAACATTCTATATTAATTAAATGTTTTTTTTTATGTATAAAGAAAAAAAAAAGAGAAATAATGGTAAAGATCTATTTTACCATAAAACAAAAATACAAAAATATTACGTCATAAGTAATAATGTAAATCTTGATTGATGTCTGTTATATCCTGCTGTTTAATTTTTCTATAATAATAATAATAATAATAATAATAATGATCATCAGTCTCTAATAAGAAATCAGTGAATGTTAAAGAGTAATCATTGTTGTTTATAAGAATTTACTTTATTCTCATTGTATCGTAGTAGTATTTTCTTCATGTTACAATATTTTTTTGTTTGGAATAAATGAAGCAATGTGCTCAATTGATTATATCAACCTTTTTTTTTTTCTATGATATAAACGAAATTGAACTCCAAAAGTAAAAACAGACTACTAGTTGGAGTGAATTATGTAATTATAAAATAAATGATAATAAGAATGACAATAAGGACGCAATTGTATTTGAAGCGAACGGTATTGGGTTCGAATCCCAGAGTGAAAATCAACTATCAGATGCAAGTACATTTAACTGACGAGTCATAAATGAGACGAAACATGTGACCTGAATTCCACTATTAACTACTATTGATCTTTGCTTAAAAAGCTTGAGACTTAAGACTATATCGAGGCAATCCATACAGTATGTACATATACCAATAAGAGATTGATCAATTGTTTATTTAAATAACAATGGGAAGGTATAAGTCAAACAACACCAAGTAAATTTAAATGGGAATATGTTTTGTATAAGTTAAATATTCAGAGAGAATGGAAAAAATAGCTAAGTGATGTTTGTTTTATTTAATCGACACTGTCATATTCACATGATTCGTCCCATTTCTTAGCAGTTCAAAATAACTTTAAGATTTAGATGAAGGTCAGTAGTCAAAAGTATTTTCATATTTTGTATGCGTTCATTAAACCAGGAACGACACTGATGATGTCTACACTGATTTGTTCATATTACTCATCATGAAGAGAAGTAGGATGTTACATATAGAGCTACATATATCGATAATATTTTTTACTTATATATTTGATGTGAGCTTTGAAACATTGCTGGTCATCAATGCTTGAACATACTGGTATTTTGATGTGAGCTACTTATATCTACATAAGTAGTATATAACAATAGTTAGGAATAGAATGTATT